GTCGGTATTGTGTCCTTTTATATATTGAATGTTTACATCGGTAAAGTCCCTTTATCTTTTCCATTACTGCAAAAGATAAAGCTGCTGAACTTTTATCCATATTTCTAGACACAGATTTTATAGGTCTAGAAATAATGTAGATTTTAAAATATAAACAAGAATAATAAAAATCACCGAAACTGGTAAATATCTGAACATTTTTGTCACTACTGATTACTGTTAGTCTAAGAGATCGTGACAAAATGTGCAAGAGCTCATTAAAGCTTGATATTTCGGTATGTTGAAGTGTGAAACTTTAAAAAAATTTCAAGTAATTTTTAATATGTTTGTTACATACATAAAATGAAAGTCTGAGATTATTTTTATGAATTACTAATTACTTTGTAGTTGTCACGAGATCTCCATCTGTAGATCTTTTCCGCCAGCGGCTTTGCCCGCGTGGTCCTTTATTATAGTTAAAAATCTTCCTCTTGAATCAATCTATATATTGAAATTCGTAGTGTATTTCAAAAGTTCTTAGAGCGTATGGACAACGGGAGACGTCTTTGGTTTATTTATACTATATATAGATTATAATACAGACAACAACTATCTGGTCTCTCATAACAAGTAGCAGCTGTAATAAAAAACTACAAACTTTATTTTTCTCGCTAGATTCTTGAAGAACATTGCATTTACCTGACATCGGCTATTCTGGTTGCGTTCACAGAGTTTCATAATTTTCTTTGCAATTCGGTATTTTTCGGAATTTTATTTATGTTTAGTTTGTTATATTACTCAACTTCTGGTGTCTATTATTATTATGTTTCAATTATTTATTTGGAATTGCCTACTTTAAGTTTACACCCCCGTTTCGTTACAGTTAACATTTCTCTCTATACACAGATTGTCTGGTAGAGATCGCTTTCAGCAATAAGACCGCCATTTGTTACACTTTGATATATTGTTTAGTTTGCTTATCTGTGATGTTGAAATAAAGTGTTATTATTATTTTTCAAGCGATTTGTATTTGTAAATATTAATCTGTTGATAATTTAATTTAAAAAATAAGGAAATTTTATGTTTTGTAGTATGTGACGATGTTTTGCTATGTGTGCTATATAAAATAAATTTCTTTATCATAGAAGATAGTACGTGTAGAAGAAAGGTCAGCTTTGCTATTTTATAAAAGTCGTGTCTATTATTTGATTGAACCTCTTATGTTGTTATGTTCGACAGTGTATTTGACGTTATACCTATACAGAATACCGTTGTAGATTAAACGTGGCGTATTACTTTTGTATTTATATACTAGCTGTGCCCGCGACTTCGTCTGCGTGGGAAGTATTTTGGTAGAATTATTTTTTCCTATGAATGGAGTCGAATCGATGAGATCAATGGGTGTTAATGTTGCCGTTGCAGCCAGGACTAACGACTTAATGTTCAATGTGCCAGTGTTGTGCACAGTACCTACTCAAGATAATAATTTTGTGGTCACCCATCCTGTGAACGGTCCTTACGATTGTTATTTTATTATTTTTTTTCTCGTTTCTCGCGCTGTGGTTGTCGCTTGTGTTTGAGCATTTTATTCGTACCTTTAGTTTAAAGTCCTTGTTTTATTTTTGATCTTTTTAAATTATTATTATTTGTCTAGTTGTATGCACAATCGGCTATTTATTGTTCTATTTTCCATGTAATGCTAGGTTGCCTGGAAGAAATTGCTGGCTGGCGATGAGTTTGTCGTTTGTACTTAGTTATGTAAAATAAGTATTCATGTATGTTCTTGTTGTGCAGTATTTACTTACTTATTTAACTTCAATTTTCACTACGCCATCAGACCTCTTATACCTAAGGTATACCAATATTATAAAGAGGAAAAATTTGGTTGTTAGTTTGTTTGCATCGAAGTTGCTCCTTAACTACTGGACCGATAGTTTCAGAGCGATTCCGACCTACGGGAAGCTACATCAGATGCGGATGTCATAGGCTATAATTTTGCGGCAAAGTCACGGGAAAACAGCTGGTTCATGATACCCTTCCAAAACTTATCTGCGGTACGCCTGTGGAGTAGGAAGGCTACACGGGTTGGCGATAATCGAAACTATTTTCTCGATCTCTATTGTGCAAACTGCGAGCTCTTTTAGAGACCAAGCGCATTTCTCTATCAAAGGAAGTTTCATATTCATACCATACTGCATGTACGTTACGATTAGCAGTTAGACCCGCTGTGCGATCTTCAGAAGTTTCCTGAGATCAAACGCATGTTGTATGAGTTCTCTGAGAGCTCAAGAGATTATCCCTGACGGTAAATGCTTCAGGTTCAATTTTATAGTGAATGAGCCTCGCAATGGGCAGTCAAATACGCTTCGCGTTTTTCAGGTGTCTCCTGAGACCGAGCGCTTTCCGTCCGATCTCTTTCTTTGTCAATAAAAGTTGGTCGGTACATGTCTGACGGAAGATACGTGGAGTTTCATTTATTGATATAAAAAAAAATCGACTTTCCACACTCGAAAGAAATCGTCTACTAACGCATACTTCCGAGAGTTGCTTAACTGAGCTTTCGTCAGATTTGAACGGCCCTCATCATCATCACCCCTTTTACGTCACCAAATGCAGGAGCCTTCCTTATGGATGGTTAAGGAGGATGGATAACCGGGACCAATCGCTTTACGTGCTTTCCGAAGCTTGGAGCTGCTTGAGATAATATTTTTTGGTCACCCATCCTGTGACCGACCTTTCACAAAAGTTGCTGAGCAACTATAATTGCGGGCCATGACGCTTATTCACTACGCCAACGAGCTAATCTGAACCGACCCACAGACTCGCGTAATATGAGTCTTGTGACCAATAAATAAACCATTGTTTCCAGCGAAGACTGGAAGGAAGAAGAAAAAAATACCAACTTTGAAGTACCTATTTGACATACAAATTGCTGTAGCAAAAACAAAAAGAGCATTAACACAAAGTAATAAGAGAAAAATAAATATATAACTCGAGTTGTCTTTACGTTCTTAACTTCAGTTAAAGTGAATCTAACTTTTTTAATGTCGTGGAAAAGCTTCTGACATTGTCTCTGCTACCTGGCAAGTAACATAGAGTGAGTAGGATTCTTCTCCGTGAACCCGACAGAGAGCTGGCCAGTGGGTCCCCAGAAACCTACTCACCAAAACCCGTACGCTACACCCTCTCATGGGAGATGAAACCCGGCAAACTATGGCTGAGTCACCAGGACACTCAAGTACTGGACTATCACCTTGCAGATGGAAAATTGGAGAGGCTCGGGTAAATCGAGTGCCTTTCCCAGACAGACGAAACCGTACAATGCGGGGGCGGTTGCCAACCACCTCCGCTGGCCCCGACGACGACGTAAATCTAAACTGATAAAAATATGCGTTCACTGCAAACTACTCGATGCTTAATTGCATCATCGGAAAACACTTTTCGCTTGTTCTCCTACTCCCGTGATCGTATACCATACGTACATTATAAGCTGAACCCTATTTAATATCATTGGCCATATATAAATGAGGTCAACTTACTTTGGAATTGTCAAAATTTTGGAATCTTATTTTTTTATTTGTCATCATACAATTTATCATTTAATATAGACAATATTAATTTGTAGCTCGGTGGCGCTACGGATAAGCGCCGCTGCGCACGATCGCTATTGCTAAGCAATTTTCGCAAGAGTTGTTCACGGGATGGGTGACCAAAAATTATTAAACAAACGCTTGAGGCCCTGCAGTTTGGCTGTGAAAGAGTTAATGATGATGATCAATATATCAAAGACGAAAATTTAATAAGACAGTTAATATTTCATAGCAATTTTGGTGAACACATCACTTCAAATTGACATAACTTTTTTATTTGAGGAACGATTGAAATAAATCTTACACTAAATGTTAACGGAAGAATACCGCAATAAAATAGTGAAAACTGCATTTAAATCGGTCCACAAACGCACAGACAAACAGACAAAAAATTTAAAATTCATTGTTTTGTGTTCTATTACGCTTATAAATGTCCCTCATAACAATTTCTTTCATATATCTTCAATGTACAGACATCGATCAGTTACGTTTTTATTATAGTATAGATTACTTTATAAACGTTGAAATTTAAGAGGTTTTGTTGCTATATCTCCTTATATTTATTCGTAAGTTTTATATAATCCTTTTATATAAGCTATTTTAAAAGCTTTTTGTGTAAAATCCAGGTATCTTTATGAAACACTAAATAACTTACTTATTATTCAGATTCATATATAACAGTTAAGTATTCAGATTCATATATGACGAAATAAAAACAACAAAGATGTACATTTTTATAATTAGAGCGCTCAAGTGAACTCCAAAATTTCAATGTAGATAACTTTTCTATACCTAATTGAGTGGACGTTGTCTGTAGTAGGAACATTTTACATAGAAGAGAAATATTCTAAATTATTAGGTAAGAAGGAACCGTCTGAAGTTATTGTGAACAATTCTGACGGGATCTATATAATGATAATTTTTCAGTTCATATTAGAAAAATAGAATGTTCTAGAGAAAATACTGATTAATAAGATATGAAAGCCGCTCCTTGAACTTCCAACTGAAAGGCAATGCTCAATATTAAATGTACCGTGACGAAATATTTTTCCGAGATTCCAACAGCTCGTTAATAAAACGAAATACAATAATTCTTTTAAAAAATGCCTCTTATCTCCATTGAAAGATTTTATGTGATGATTGTGGAAAGTAAATTGAAATCTATTAAGAATACGCAGACGATTATAAATGATTATAAAATTATGAATGACATTGTTAAATTTAATTTTCCTTATACGTTGTGGTGTAATAATTCTTTATCCTTTTAATTTTAGGCCAAACAATTTGAATTTCATTAACTTTTTTCATTAACTTCGTTTTACAAAGTTAAAGTTGAAGGCCATCTTCTAAATGATATTTCTCTTTTCATGAGATTTTGAATTTTCCAAATTTTGTATTTTTTAATTTTATTTTTTTTACATTTTGTTTCAGGTCCTATCCAGTCGAAGCGACTGGCTTATGTAACATTAATTACTGTAGAGTAAAAACATCACCATTCCCAAATCCAGACCTAACAAACCGAGATGTACGCGGAAACGAAGAGATAAGAACTATAGAAAGGACAAGAGTCCCACAATGTTTTCTCTAGCTGAAGGCTGTGGATGCGTCAGCTTTCGAGGGAGTAGGCGCACCCGCTCTCTAGGAGACGATTCGTCCTCGTGCCGCAGTTCCGAACTAGAACAGGAGGTGCCAAAGAAGTTGGGTCGAAAAGTTCTTAATGGAGAATGTACCATAAAAGCATTGGCACCTTTCTTGAAGTTTTGGAGGAGAGACGATGTCAGCATGACCAAGGCCGAAAGAAGTAAGTGTTTTATACTCTATCATTGCTATTAGCCTATTTACATCCCACTCCAGGGCTTAGGAAAAGGTCATTGGGCCATGGTCATTACCCTACCACGCGGGATCGGTGGGTGTTACGACTGCAAATGCACCCGAGAACTACGGCCTAATGTGCCTTCCGAAGCACATAGGAGCTCGACAAAATAAAATTTGGTCACCCATCCTATCACCGGCCCTTAAAAAGGTCGCTTAAGTTCCGTACATCGGATGCGCTGTAATTCAGCTTCATTGTTTAAAAGGCAGGTTGACACGATAATTATACGTTAACTTCACCAATGAACATTTTTATTTTTCTAATTTGTTAGGTAAACGATTTCATTATTTATTCACTGATTCACTTTCGGAGGCGAAAACGTGTAAATGTTACAAAGCCCAAACCGGACGAGATTTGAATTTGTCAGTAACAGATGAATGTGGCTCACATCTAAGTTGGATTAATTGAATTAGTGTAAAGCAATTTGTGTTCACCCGAGGGACCGAATTGAATTTCATATAAGTAGAAACCTATAAATATTCAAAGTTTAGGAAATGTAAATTGCATCCCTTTAAGTCTTGGTTGTTTATATTAATGTGAGAGAGGGGCATTATCATTGTAGGTAATATGATCCCTTTTAATTGGTTTGTTTTTATTTTAATAAAAAATGTGTTTTTCTTGCTTTTCTTTCTCAAACATACGTTATTATAGCATTACAAAGCAGAGATAAATCAATTTTGCTTGTTTTAAGGGAAAAACATTTATTTTTAATTTTGTGTCTGTCACTAAGGAACCCATTAAAAGTCTTCATTCAATAAACTTCTGAACAAAACCTTCTACGATACTATTACACAAGCTATATGATACTGAGTAGATGCTCGCTAATCTGGTGACAATTTGCACTACCAATATTTAACAAGACTGCCAGATCTAACACATGGACTTGCTTGATTTTCGTGTAATATAAATTAAATAGCTATATAAAAATCTAAAATTTGAATGAAATGAAACATGCTAAAAGATTATTTATTTTTTTCGCAAATTAGTGGAAAGTAGATTGTAAGACACGGCGGGCGCTAAAACCCATTGATACTTTCTATTTACTTCCTGAAAAATTCAAAACATTATAATCCAAGAGTATATATGAAATACAATGGAATTCTGCATTCGTTTTTGATATTCCATAACTCCATGATATTCGATAGTTTATTACTAAGCAAAATTTGGTAGAATATTCAAATGTTAGATGTATGCACCACCTGCTGTCAAATAAATCCTTTTTATGAAATATATGGATCACTTGTTTTGCACCAGCGTATCATGATAGACTGCATTAAAAAGGCTTACATATCGCTCGTCCTATTAATAGCACACTCGAGTGATCTTTGCTTTAGAAAATGATATTTCCTGCTTATTTGAAGCGAACTTTGATTAATTTCTCCCATGTAACTTGTAAAAGAATGATTTTAATAATTACGGGTCGATATCTAGGTGCTCGGTTATATTAGTATATCAATAGTATAAAGAAATTGTTGAATAATTGTGAGAGGGATTACTTTTATATACCTATAAAGAAACCTTCGTATTCATATAAGGACTATTATTTAAGATGTAACTATGGCTTTAATATTTTTATTTATTTTTGTTTTATTACTACTCTTTCTGCCTACCCCTCAAGGTATACTGCGTGAAGGTATAGTGTTACTTATTCTTTATTTCATAAAAAAACACAAAAGGCGGTCTTAATTCCTGTAAATCTGTCATTCTATACCAGTAAATCAGAACAGTTTTTAAAGACCACTTATAAGGCGATAAGAATAAAGCTTCAGGCATGAAGAACGGGCCACCGTTCTCCCTATTCAATTCGATTCGATTCGATTCCGTCCATTAATAAGGTGATGATGATAAATGAATGAATGATTGATTCTTTATTGTATATGAACACCAATAATAGGATAACAATAACACAAAGAACAAATAGTACAATGGGCGGCCTTATCGCTGATGATGAAAAACAAAAAAGGATCATGCAGTCCGTTAAGATTTTAGAAGTTTTGAGATATTATAACGCTCTCGATAGTCTATTAATTTTTACGCTTTTATCTAATTATTCATAAAATAAACAGTGGGTATTTCATAGACTGCCCCCTTACTCTCGAACGCAATCAATAGGAAGGGTACACTAGTGCCAGAGCATGTTAGTGAACCAATCAAGAGTGCGAAGCGGCACAATTGCAATGTCGATCGATTGCGAGGTTGCGATTGCGTTCGAAAGTAAGGGGCTGATCAGAATGGGTGAGTATTGTGGCCATGACTTTACCATATATTACTAGAGAATGGTTTTAGTAATATTACTCTTTCAATATATGTAAACACCATTTGTAACATGACAACATGTAATGGATCTAAATGTGATAGCTATATAAACAAGGGATTTCTGCGCTCTTCTAATTTTTGATAAGGTCTCCATTTATTTCTGAAAGGTTGATAAATCCATATTTTATAGGCATTTTCACATCCTTAGCTGGTGTAAGAGTAAATTGTGTTACCTCTTGGAGTGCGGCTCTACTCATCATTTTTCTGCAGGTTGACTTTACGAAGAATATTTATGTAGGTCAACTCAATAAAATATCAGAGCCGGGTCTCTATTGAATAATTGAAGACGATTTTAAAATGTATTTATGCAAACATAATACGTAGTATGATCGGCAATATTGGTAGTGAGTTCAATATTGAGTATTATTATAAAAGGAAATCATAAAATTAAAATATTTAAATTCAATTTATGCAAGCATAAGTATGCAATAATTTTGAATTGGCAAGTTTACAAAATGTGTGTTGCTATGTTGGACATTGATTATAATACAAAAACAAAACCACAAATGCTTCCTTTGTTTACCTAATGGAAAAATAAAATAAACACCATCTTAATGTATTTTATTTAATATTTGTAGCTTAGAATAATTTAGGGTTTAGGATATGTTTATATTATTTAAATAATTAATTTAATTTACGTTTACTTGCAAGTATTATTTTGAATGATAGATTAAATATTTATATATTTAAATTATCTATGGTAATATATTATTATATTATATTTAATTAATTCATTAAATCATTTTAATATAGATTTTATTTCGAAAATATCGTCATCATCAGCATATTAATGTGCCCGTTAAAGTACAGACCTTTCCTCCATTATAGTTGAAATCAATTAGAAAGAATGGGCCATAATTTGAATGCACTAACCATTGCGTCATTCAGACCTTTTTATCGACTTCAAATTTTTTTAATTATAAATATCATGGTTTTGAGGTGTTTCAATATTTTTTAACGAAACGGAATCAGCAATTTTATTTTCACAGCAAAATAACAAGAGTCTAGTTCTTTAAAATTCAGTTTTTTAGATGGTATATATTTATGTCGTAATGGGATATAAATAAAATAAAAATGTAGTGGATAAGCACCGCGGCCCGAGATCGTAGTCGTTAAGCAACTTTCGCAAGGGTCGGTCACGGGATGGGTGACTAAAAAATTACTATCTCGAGCTACTCCGTGCTTCGGAAGGCACGTTAAGCCGTTGGTCCCGGCTGCATTTGCAGTCGTTAATACTCTCCAATCCGCATTGGGCCAGCGTGGAGGGTCATGGCCCATCCTCCTTTACCATCCATAAGGAAGGCCTGACCCCCTGCAGTGGGGACGTAAAAAAAGGGGTAAAAGGGCTGGTGATGATGATGGGATATAAATAAATAACCTATCTATATCTGAAACTAGTACCCTTTGGAGAAGCTTCATGGCGCAGTGATTAGCGCGCTCGATCTGCGATAAGGTTGTGAAGCAACTTTCGCGAGGTCCGGTCATAGGATGTGTGAAGATTATTATCTCGGGCTCTTCCATGCTTGGTGGTCTCAGCTGCATTTGCAGTTGTTAGCGCCCACCAATCTGCACTGGGCACGCAAGGTGGGTCATAGCCCATTCTAACTATTCAATTCCATCCATGGCGAAGGTCTGAGCCCCGACATTAAAAAGCCGGTGATGATGATAACAATGAACTTATAAACTCACTAACTTAAAATCTTCAAAAAACAATGGTTTAAATGTGTATGTACAAACAACACTTTACACATGAAATATAATGATATATAATAGATTGTTTAATTTCTGAACCTTGTTCTTGAAGCTTAATTAGGCTAGGCTTGTACATTTTAGTAGTCAATTATTCAAAATAAGATTTGTTATTATACCAAATTTCCCTCAGTTTGTCTTCCGGTTTCACGAATATAGCACCATACCTCCGCAGACATGCTGTTACTTTTACATCATGTCTCATATATAAATGGACTATTTATTTATAAAATAAAAATAGGCGACTAGCCTATTCAACAGGCTGTTGTTATATTATAGTAGTCACTCAATTCGTCAATATGTTTATATGCCAAAATAATAAATGAAGTCGTTGTTTCTTGAAAAGAATATAGGAAAATACAGCACATAGGAAATATGAAACGACATACCATTTAAACAGAGCATTAAGTTTCAGCCTGCAGATTAAAAATTTCGCAGTAGGTCTTGAGAGAGCAAATACTCATTATTTTCCATTTTGTTGTAGGTATTACTATACTTGATGCTTTACTACATCTAATTTCGTTACAATGAAATTATGTGTTAGTAAGTTTTACGTAAGTCATTCTTTTTTATACTCTTTGGCAGTCGATAGATTTTTTTTAACATAAGATTTTTCTTTAACGTGGATCATTCAAAAATTTCACCTTCCGATCGATTTCAACGTTCAATTACTGTATTAACTGTTGATTCAACCCGATGTATTTATTGAACATATAAACTATATCTAAGAATACAGTATTTAATAATAAGTGCATTTTGATTGAATCATATACCAACAAAAACAATGTTGCTATCTACATCGGTAGTCCTGAGGTCGACGTAAGGCTGTTAAGGGCTAACAACTTCAATAAATTAAATAGGCCGATTTATTACGCATAAAGTCCATACGATAATTGTTTATTATTCCATCGGTAGATAAGAGAAACTCCATGTTGGTACTTAAAAATATATATTGGCAATACAAATGTGGTCACCATGATAATTGATGAGAAAATGAGACAGTATTGATACGGCTGTAGTCGTTGTGTGTAATTTATTTTTAAACGTCCATAGATGTAATTATATAAAAAAACTATTTGTTTTCCCGCGACTTACGGCCGGTTTCTGAATTGACAAAAGTACAAAATCTCAGCTGATTATTCTCAATAAGTTGCTTTTTTACGCTTCACAAGGCATGTAACTAGGACCTTATTACATATAACTGCTATCAATCGACGCAAACAAAGAAACAATCAAGCCTTTCTTCTTTATAGTTATTATATAGTTACCCAATGTATTTTTAGATGATTACAAAGTACAGTCTTTAGACACGATATTCGTTTCCTTGACGTTTATTACTAACTCTATGTTCTTTTTGTAGTGATATGTTTTTCTATTATTGCGTAATGACTATTTTTAAATCTCTTCAATAAGAGAAAATGATTTCTAAAGCATTCGAAGTGTTCAAAAATAACCTAACCATACGAACAGTTAATATAATTCAATTTTACAAAGTACCAAGCTTTAGGCTCCAAGGACCCAATAAGTTATGATTGGTATGTGACCTACATTCTTTGAAAGCTTTCAATAACAATTTTAATTGCCTAAATTAGATAGTAATTAAATAAATAATTAATATCGAAGATGGACTGGTTATTAATCTGAGCGCGTTCGGGCTGCTTTTATTGGGGTTATAAGACGAAATTAAAGGATATAATCAATCAGTGAATTGGACGGCAATTGATTGAGAATTATTATAGTTAGATTGAGTTATGCTGCATTTTATTTTTGTAAAAATTTTAACAGTATCTGCACTTTTAAAGAGATAACAAATATGTAGCTTAAATAATCTGACTACGTACAGTCAACAGCTGTTATAAAAAGCTATCAAATTTCTACACCAGATTGTAAACTTTCATACATTAAATGTAGGGTTGGTATTCTGTCGAAATTTGATATATCGTGTTAACCTGACGTGCAACCGTGATACTTTGAATAGGTCTGATATATGCATACGTACAAACATTTCTATCGTCCCTTATGTGAAATTTCATAGTTCTGTTTACTTTTGTTTGATAAATACTTGTAGTTTTGTTTTAATATTAAAGAAATTCAACTGCGGGGTGATTTTTAATCTTTTGTTTAATAATGTATAAAAAAAACAAGAATATGTAGTATGAAATATATCGTATATATCTCAAAAATTGACTTGAGGGTTATTAGGTTGCTTTTTATTGGGATAAAAGGGCATTAAAGTTTGTTTGGAGGTTCGTCATTGTCAAAGACAAAATAATGAAACTTTATATTCAGGCATTTTACATGATATAATGAATAAATAATTATTTAAGCGTTTTCTAGAAATGCTGCCCAAAGTAACTATACTACGCGGACGAAGTCACGGGTAAAAGCTAATATGCATATAAAACAACTAAAAATAAACGAATTTTATTAAATTTCTTATAAGTATGAAGAACCACGGATAGAAACCGTCTTAAAAGATATATTTCTTAAATTTAAGTCCATAAGTCCTGCTTAATCATCGCCGATGTAAAAGGTCTTATTTATTAAAATAAATATAAGTTTCTGGATGAGGCCGTTGCACTAAGTAAATTATATATTTTGATATTAGCAGCGAACATTACGTTGTTACTCGTACATTTGTTCACTGGCTGACACTGTTGTGTCAGAAATTTTATCTTAGTATATAACTAACTAACTCTTAGAAAACTCTTCAATGTAAAAAAACAAAGTGAAAGGCGAAATAAGTAACACTTACTTTATTTTCGATGTTAAAACATCCCGAGATGCCAAGAAAAGTTTGTTTTCATTCGGACGTGAACGGAATTCAGAACTTCGTAGGTAGTAAATGCCAGTCTATTGCGCACCTACACAATCAACGAGTATCATTAAACAATTTTTAATAATAGTAATTTGTTACAGCTATGAAGGCAGCCATATTGATCCAGCAGTGGTATAGGCGGTACCTAGCAAGAATGGAAGTGAGGAGGCGTTACACTTGGACCATATTTCAGAGCATCGAATATGCCGGCGAGCAGGACCAAGTTAAAGTAAGCTTTAATATTATTAAAGAAGCAATCAAGCGTAGGTCCGCTTGATGGGCATATAGGTAATTAAGTATTATGAAACTAATTTCTGCGTTGTTTTCGAAATTGTAATCACGAGGTATAGTTTAAGATAAGTAAATAGTATCATATAGAATAATAACATTAATTTATTTTAATAGTTAACTTATAAATTACAATTGATACATAAGTAAAATCAACTGTTTACAAACCTAGTGTATTTATAGTGCAATGCTATATGTGTTTATACATACAAACATACATACATAAAGACATCGATCCTCGAAACGAATGAGGACTGCCAATTATAATGGTTGGAGTTTTCGAAGGGTTGACTGTAAGACCAAATGATTTACTCCAGTTTGAGATTTTAGAGAGGTCGGTATTGCTAACTGCCACTGCATCGGAAAGAACCATCAATGATGCTTGGGTGTAAATTTGTAGATCAAAAGCATAAAGGCGATAGGAATTATTTGTGTGATAGAATTTATAAACATAGAGAAGAGAACAAGAGATAAGTCGCCACTCTGAGGGACTCCATCATTTATAGTGCACCACGAGGAAGAGTTGTCTTCATTACATCTTTGAAATGAAAATAATTCACCTACGTGAAATTACGCGGGCGTGAAAATACTGCTAGTTAATAGCAAAAGTACTTAGCCTAAAACACTCATGGAAATAAAAGCAAAAGAAGTAGGTACATACCTAAATTATTTAGAGAACAAAGCCCTAAGTTTATTTATAATCTGAATTTCTGATTTTGTTTATACACCGAATAAATCATTTCCAGAACAGAAAATTATAATTTATTTTATTAAATTCAGTTTAATTATTAATATACATAAATAATTCAATGATATTTATGTCCATGTATTTTGCTTATTCTCACTATATCAAGTTTATTGTTAGCGAGTACAATTTCTTTAACTATAAAGCTTAGGGCTTTACGAGATAATTTGTGATGGAAGTTTGTCCACGAATAAATAATAAATTTAACGAGAGTTGGCAAGTGCTTTACGGTACGGTTACACTTTGTTCTTAAACATAATTTACATAAATGATTAGGCGCGGTAAGATAAAAATGAATCAAATACACGCTAGGACTGCATAAAATTTTAATAGTTTTATTTCCGAAATAAATCCTAAATGGTTTTATCCTCTATTTATAGCATTTCTAAAATAAGACAGTCTAAGTATTTAAAGGATTGCCGCGCTGCTGAAGTATTAGTATAACAATTTATTTTAAATCCTCAACGCTTTCTCATTAACGTAAAAAGTCAAACATCGACGTAGGGCTTTCTAAATTCAAAGTGAGTGAATAATTAAAAGAGATTTATTTCCAACAGCACCGACTAATCCCGATTCGCTGGGAAAGTTTTAACCATGATCGTGCCGGCTCACGGTATTCCATCATGACAGCTCTCTCGAGAATGAATGTCGACGCGAACATGCTCACTGAACACTTCACTACGATTATTACGATTCAACGAACTTAATAGTGCACAAGTATATAAGATTGAACGTTGCCACCACCACTACTGGTGACTTACACTATTAGTTTGACGTATTATAAAGCGTTCACACATGCTTTACACTAAAAACTAACAATCTTGATCCTTTCGGGATGTCCTTAGAACTTGTTAGTATAAGTTGTTGTTTATTTTAAGAAACAAATTTCAGTGTCTAGGTTATTTTTGGGTATTTTTAGAACCGCAATAAAATCCGTTGTGTAGTTTATAAAACAGTGTACAGACAGCGGGAAGCGACTTTATCGAGTTTTTTTCATTATTTAGACTTAATATTATAAAGAGGCAAGATTTAATTGTTTATCGGTTTGCCTTGAATAGGCTACGAAACTACTGGATCGATTTTAAAAATACTTTTATCTATATGAAGCTACACCATACGCGTGTGACATAGGATATAATTTACAGCTAGTTTAAATATAATGTAGAGACTATAAACTTTTACCCCTGTCGGATATTAAATTATTTGAAATAATTAAATTATTTATGTGCTCTAATTAAAATGTTAGGGCCGTCGTTAAAAATCTTTTGGCGGACGCATCTAAACAGGCAGGGTTCGTCGAACACGGACGAATGCGTGATTCAGGCTAACCCCGGCGGGCATTGCGCATCCATGCGGCTGCACAAGCGAGTGCACAATTACACCACCATTCAAAGCCACTACGGTGATTTTAACCTGAGTGCAAGTAAAATTTAAAATACGGCTATCGGCAAGTCTGCATGCATGCCTGCTGGATTTCGCTACTACAGCTAATGTAGGATAGTTGTATACCGACCTATAGTAACGAGGTTTAGTATGACAGACTAGGTTTGATTAAATGTGGTGAAAATGACGTTCATATTTTAATGTACCTTGACATGAACCCTGTTAAAGTCAATCTAACAATAGTAATATTAAACTGTAAGTATAGTTTACCTGTAAGTATGTCTATCTGATATCATAAAATTTACTTTGTCGGATCTCAATTTTTTTATTATTAACTACTTAAATGGTCATGAAACTCTATCTAAATAAAATAAAAATATACATTTATATAGAACTTCTTTTCTGCAAAATGATGTAAACAACTCGTGTGCATATGTTATAAAGCTTATTCAGGACTGGATTAAAACCCTATTATACATAAGCTTTGCTTTTGCTTTCTCCAGTGGAGCACCAACAGCGTGCTGCTTATTACTCATTATTTTTAATAATTGATGGCCATATGCATTTACTGCCAGTCCTGTGAAACGTCCTTTATGAAAACCATACTGGTTGATATTCAATATTTGATACTTCTCACGTTATGAGTAATACATAGCAATTTACAATATACATAGCAATAAAAAACTATTTTATTACTAATTCAAATTTCGATGGAAATAAAACGTGATTATTATTATCGTTAAATTATCTTTAATAATATACACTTGGACATGTTCGAAAATGTTATGATGATAAATCATTCTATCTACATTATCGATTTCAAATAGGTTTTTTAAATGAATCTATACACCTATGCTAATGTTGTCATTCTGTGCTGTCATTTTGAACAATGATGTAATTTTTTTTCTAGAGTCTTTTGCATATACGTTTTTTTTACATTCTGTGTTTATAAAACACATCACATATATTCTTCTCGTCAACAGTCAACTCACGAATTGTAGTACTATCTACTTCATGCAACTTGATGAGAACGCATACCGTTAATATTTATTATATTTTTTTTAAATCAATGTCAGAAATGTAAATTATTGTTCTTCAAAAAGGAGAATGTTGTTCTAATATATCAAGTTTTACAAAGTATTAGGTATACTTTTTACGATCGATGATAATAACTGTAAATAAAACCATTTTTTAAATGTATTTTACAAAGTTCTCACGGAGCTTTTAAAATCCACCTACACATAAAATTCCACTGTCCCAAATTGCAATTACAATTCCGAAGAAAGGTTCTTAAGGTACACTACAGAAATAACTGATTCCGTACCAAATTCATTCCCAATTTCTTTTTTTAATTATAGATATTGATTTGCTAGCGGTAAAGTTACCGTCTGAACATTATAAAAACCGTTTGTTCGAAGGAGATATTTCATTTAATATTCTGCACTTCTCCCACAGGATTGGAGATGTACTGGTCTCGTTTGGGGAGAGTAATCAAATTTTGTAGCGAGATAAAATCTAGTTTATATTTTGGTTGCATTATTTATTCCACGATAAATTTAGTCATGTATTTTCTCAGCAAAAGTTTTTATTATATTTGTTAAAGGTAAAAAAACATATTTTTTACAGTTTTGTTTCTAAATCTTACAATCCTTACTATTACAACGTGCACGAATTTTGTTTAAAAAAAACTTGTTTGTTTGCACTGTATTTATTTTGAATAATTATTATTATTTTTAATAAAACAATCACTGTTTCTTTTACCTTTATTACTACTTCTTATGTTATTGACGATTATAGTTTTAGTAACGCGGAGACTTCTTCTAAGAGTTTCTTTATTAAAAGGCAACCGGCAGGCAGAAACCGGGTCCGTATTTGGGCAGCGATTCCACATTTAGAACAAAGACTAATTAAATTATTAAATTTTTGAGTTTTGTACACAAATATTGCTGATGACAAAAATCAATGAATGTAATTTCGTAAAAGTGTGTTGTCCCTAAGTCAGTAACATTCGTGTAGCAAGTGGGTTGTGAGTAATGTAAATAATTATACCTATCTACTTTTGTTGTTGCGTATAGGTATTAGTAGGTAGTTTTATATCGTACATATTTATTAAATAGGGTTCGTTTATTTTATAGTCAAATATACTTTTTAAATTTTTCCTGTTAGCAAAAGTTAGTAAAGATAATTTACAGTTAATTTGTTTCTCACGATCACCACTCTTTAATTATAAATACTTTTAAACAGCTTTATCGTGCCTGAATTTGAAAAAAAATATATATTCTCAGACGTTTCGGCTCATTTACTGGTTATGTGTTCACTAGATTAAGACTAGATTGATGATGCTCTTCTATCAAAACTTCCTTCGTAAGCTTCCTTCGTAGGCTTCCCGAGAAATTATGTGCATGGGTCACTAGTTTTTTGGCAAACAGAAGCATTAAGATTTTAATCGGCGGTGAATGCTCAGACCAACTGTCTATTAATGCTGGTGTTCCCCAAGGATGTGTACTATCGCCTACACTTTTTCTTCTGCATATTAATGACATGCTGCAAATTAGCGGTATTCATTGTTATGCGGATGACAGCACGATGGATTCCTCCTATAACGGTCTCGCAGGTATTTCTCGGGAAAGCGTTATTGAGAGCTGGAATCAACTTGTGTCTGTTATTGATTCTTCGTTAGAGGAAGTCTCTAACTGGGGTCGACTTAATTTGGTCCATTTCAACCCTACTAAGACACAGGTTTGCGCGTTCACCGCCAAAAAAACCCAATTTGTCGTATCACCTCGCTTTCAAAACATTCCCCTAACTGCCTCAATATTGAGGTTCTTGGTGTCGACATATCGAGCGAGGTCCAGTTCCGAGGTTAAGTCCAGGTCACTTAGAGGGTAAGACTAAATTAGCATCTAAGAAGCTTGGTGTGCTTAATAGATCGAGGCAGTATTTTACTCCAGCACATTGCCTGCAGCTTTACAATGCGTAAGTTCGGCCCCATATGGAGTACTGTTCTCATCTTTGGGCAAGGTCACCGCAATACCAGCTTCTCCCTCTAGATCGCATTCAGCGGAGAGCGACTCGAATCATCGATTGCCGGGACACTTCAAGTCGGCTTGATCTACTGGCCCTGCGTAGAGATGTTGCTTCACTGTGCATCTTCTATCACATCTATTACGGGGAATGCTACGAGGAATTGTTCGGACTCATACCTGCCGCTACCTTCTGCCATCGTTCCACGCGACAAAAAATCCACGCCCATCATTTGGATGATTGGAAGTCCACAACTGTGCGTTTTTCAAGAAGTTTCCTGCCTCGCACAGTCAAACTCTGGAACAGTTTGTCACTAGCGGTATTTCCGGACCGATATGACCTTTAAACTTTCAAGCGGAGAGCATATTCGTCCCTCAAAGGTCGGCAGCGTGCTTGTAGCCCCTCTGGTGTTGCAGGTGGCCATGGGCGACGGTAATCACTAACCATCAGGTGATCCGTTTAATCGTCTGCTCCCTATCCCATAAAAAAAAATGTTGGCCGCTGTTTCAAGCAATAATAATTTCAATATTTATTTTTAAATAAATTGTTGAAAAGGAGTTAAGGTCATTAAACATTATCTTTTATGTATATATTTTTGAAAATAATTGTATATCTTGTCGTTATGTATCCGTATAAAACCTACATAAGGAAAAGCAAAAGGAGGAAGAAATTTAGATAAAAATACATTCTGGTTTTAACTTTAGCGTGCACCATCGATAAGTCACTTTATATTTGGAAAGCTGCTTAGGGTTTTCACATCCATACTCTCAGGCATTGTTATAACTCACTTATGAAGTTGAAACTGCTCTTTATGAAGTTGAAACAGCTCTTTATGAAGTTGTCACTGTACATCCTAATTTATTTTAATATTAGTTATTAATGTTGAAAGTTTGTATCTTAAGGATTATAGTTATTTTTAATATTGGTAATCGAGATTATTATACAAATTATGCAAATATTTAATATTTCATTGACATAACCAACTATTGTTTAAAATAAGGACTACTTGTTGGGTATAGTTTTGATTTATTTACAACTTCTACTACAAACGACGGAAAAATGTTGTAAATTGGATAAGGTTGTCTGTGGAAAGTGCTTTGATTTATCCTTTTTGTGTTTAGGATGATATTCAGTGACACGATTGAGTTCATATTGGTAGTTTATTGATTAAAAGTATCAATAATAAATATGTTCTTCTTAAAATCAACATTTAGTTGTATATTATTATGGACTAGAGATCTTGTAAAGACAAATCAAACTAGCTTTAATTCGACAGGGTTGCTTTGATTAATTACAGAGGTCCCACGACTATTTTTCGAGTCCATTGTTTGATCAGTTCAATTCCATATTGATATTAATCAAGTTATAATATGCATGAAATTTTTTAATCGAAAAGCTAGAAATGGTTTAATAGCTTGTACGAATTGAACCACCCAGTAAGTTATAGGTATGTAAAAGTTCGTAAAAATGTCATTTGGAAGGATATTATTTCTATGGTTATGATTGAGTGATGTAATAAAAATATTAACTATTATTTTTTCGTAATCAGTATAATAGGAAAAGATTCTTTTGATAATTTATAAAGAACCTATATTATCGATGGTTGACATATTGACGATAATTGCTTGTTTTTTTTATACTGTCAGTAACATATGCAAATCACATTATTCTTTTGTATCACATACTGATAAATGAAATACTATTGTTAGTGTTTTATTTTGGCAATTTCATGAGACATATCTTTAGCTATGGTACGGAAATATGGTTTTAATACATGATAGACATTATGCCTGTTCAATATGAAAAGCAATGTGGATGCATATTTTTCTATCTTATTTTTATTGTTAGTGGAAAATAACCAAATATTAAATATAATCAGGAATTTATAAGGAATAATTAAAAGAATAACTTCAGCATTCCATTTTAGGTATAGATACTATTTCATATTTGGTTACTTTCCTTTGTTTGAAGGACGTCTTATAATGCTATCTTTTTATTACAGTTATACAACTTTTTTAATGCGCTGCTGAGTCACATGAAGGACACTAGTGGGCGCCCTTCCTCCGAGCGGACGTCCCGCACAGCCTCAGTGTGTGAGTACGCCAACAATGGAATTTACATTTCGGAGATGAAATTTACATTTCATAAGTAACTCGTGCAATGGAAAGTCAAATTACACGCGAAATGAATTCACTTTAGGTTGTAATTCAGTTTCGGTGCTAAATTTCTAAAATTTAGAGAGCTTTTACGTTATGTATTTCATTTTATGATAAACATAATACAATCAGTAGATAATAATAGATAGTAGAGTCAGTAGACAATTAAAAAAAAAATAAACTTAATGATAACTTGTTAAGATATCATTGACAACACTTCAAGAGCCGAGTTGTTCGTTTCTTGCAATTTTAATGCCTATATTAGATGTTTAAGGATATTTTTTATTTATTAGACCAATGGGAACATTTTGATTAATCCTAGTTTAATTTAAACTACTTTAATAAATTTTTCGGTTTCTAAAATACTGAAACATATTAACTAATTCAAGCTTATGTAGCATGAATGATTTTGTAGACTCAATAAAAGATTTGAACAATTATATCCAATTAATTTCTCAATGGTAGCGTTTTAGATTAATGGTTCCACGAAAATTGCTTTGTGTGAAAGGCGCCAAATTAACGTCTAAAAGTTATACAGTTTTATTAATTTCTGAAAGGAGACATTAAAGTCAAAGTTGAAACAACTCGTTAATTGTTCAATTCGGTCAATTTATATGTACTTGTTGTCCATTATTAGCTTTTGCATAGAGGCGTGTACCTACAATATGTTAATTATTAAGACCACAAATATATTAATAACATAGAGCAATACTTATAAACGTAAATATTTTCCTTAACATTGGGTTTTATTTCAATCCAAAATAATATAAGAAAAGTAAATTATTTTTTTACCAATCAAATAAATGCCTTGTTTTTTTCATTTATTTATTTATCATTCAAGTATACACTTCTGTATAAGTGAGTCTGCTGTTCTGTATAAGCTGACTATTGGGATAGAGCCATCAACTGTGATATATTTCAGGGGTATTTTGATCAATTAGGATATAAAGACAAAAAATAAAAAAAAAACGAAATTTGGTCTCAAACAATGCCCGCCATGATGATATAATTTTCGACAATGTTATTTTCGACGCTAAAATTAAAAATATATTTTTTTTATTTTCATCACTTTTGCATTTACAATGCTACTCTTTTAAATATATTTAATGAAAAATTTTTAACCATCCAATTAGCCTCAGGTATCCGGTGGGACTCGAACAAACAATCTTTCGCAAATCGCAAGTATCTGGGGCTGGACTTTTTCGTTAAATATGTAATGATTGTTATTAAAAATAATAATTGAACTATAAATGATATTTTCTCTATATAAATATACCATTAATTCTTCTCTGGCAATATTAATCAAACTCTGGTGTTTTAATCACACTTCTTTTACTTAGTTAATCCAAGTAAACACTTCACTGTGTTATTGCTCGTCGTCCTCGTTCCCAGAGTTCCCGTTTTTCTTTTATTTAACTGGCTGCAAACACGCGACGTTGCGGTATCTTTACACATGTCCAGTTATACAATTTAAAACCGACCGCAGTGACATTTCCACATGCTATAACCAAATGCAGATAAAACTAGGCCTCGGCTATTCGTGGCTTGACACACATCCGCTTTTGAATAATATTCAATGATAATTATTAAGCAGCGTATAAATGAAAATAAAGCGTACAGTTTCAATTTGTAGAAGGAAAAACTAAAGTAGAATTAAAGATTGTAGAAGAAGTAGCATCAATTGGAATAATCTACATTTCAATGGTACATCGAAAAATACAGCTAAGTGCTGCGAGAATTAGAAGGGTAACCGGTGGCTAAAGCACATTGATTGTAACATCGACTAACTTAGATATAGATATATTAAAATAAATTCAATTTTATTTTATTCTAATAACTATATAACTATACCAAAAGATAAAAATAAAACTTTCAAAATGGCCAAAAAAAAAAATTAAAAGCTTTAAAAGCAATAAATATTCTGCATGTTTTTCTTCAAACACCATGAGAGGTCGTTGTGTTATGTAATTGCAGTTCAACAATTAAAATCTTAAATTAATTATTTCAGATAATTATTTATTGTCAATGCAATTGAAAGTTTTTTACTTTTTTAAAGTCTGTGTGAGTAGGTAAAATAGTATATCGGAATTGGAAATGAGATATTCAAAACGTAACTAAAGTTACATTGCGTCTTTGTCTTTCGTATTAAAGGTCAAAGTTGTTTGATATTTAACTTGATACATCTGTAATATTATAAATATCTTATACTACTCTGGCGCTTTTAAATGAATTATTAGTTGAGTGAAACTGAAACCCATTTATTAAAGGAACGATCTAAGGGACGCTATAAAAACAAAGCTATTTAGAGGGTTGGGTTCTAATATGTAAATACATAGTAAACATGCTTTACAGTAGAACAAGTGTTCTCCGAGGAATCAGACGAAGGAGGGGGTGTAGACGAGACGGCGCCGTCAAAACCATCGCACGGTCCTGATATAGAATTCCCACTGCAGAGGAAAGACATTGACCTTCTCATCGAGGCTTTCCGAAAGAAAAAGGTATGTTATATGCCACTTTATATGTCTAGATATATAGCCCATACATTTCTAAATATTAAAGTTCATACACATATAAACTTTTGTTAATTGTTGTCGTACAATAAATTGTTAAGCACTCCTGAATAAAATTATGTATCACAGATAAAACTAAAAAGTAATCTCCAAATCATTATACAATATTAATAATTTAATACTAAATTTTTTACTAAAGTTTAGTCGAATCACAAGTTGTCATTTAATGTTAAAATAATTTGGAATCATTATAACATTAAGAAACCAAATATGATGGGTCGAAGTCAAATCTTTATTTGAATGAACTTATTATGAAAGTACCTTTGAGTCGTCGTAATTTTTTACTACATAATTGCAAAAAAACAAGTTTTTTGGAAAGAACCAACCACAACGACGGGAAGTAAGAACCTATTAATGTAATTACATTTCCATGAATGTGCGTCGGGGCTACTGTAGCCATTTCCGTCTTCAATACCAATTACTTTGTAGCAGTAAAGAAGGTGCACAAGTAGCTATTCAATTAAATTACGAATCGGTGAAATTACTATAGGCAAGGCTTCCCGGACAGATTTTTTTTGGATTTTTTACTATATTAATATATTACAATCTTACTTTATTTCAGTAGGAATGTTATCAAAAAACATTAACCCCCTTTTGTTTTATTACTTTACTTGCCATAATTTTATTATTTTGTTTATTGAGACTTTTTTCTTATATACTTACGAACATTTACTTATTAATTGAATTGACTTGTAAACTTCTGAATAACAACTAAATTTAAAAAATTCACGCGTTAAAACCGTTTAGAATAGGTTTATTTAATACCCAAACTTGTCACCGAGTAGCCCCAAACAATTTATAGAAGTATTTTAATCAGTCTAATTTTCATTAAGAATGCAAAATTGATCAAATATTAAAAATAAGTTTCTTTGTTTGGATGTTTAGATGTTTGGATGTTTGTCCATCAATCACGCCGAAACTACTGAACGGATTTTGATGAAATTTTGTATACAGATAGGGTATTAGCTGACTTAGATAATAGGATACTTTTTATCCCACTAAACTTTTGCCTAGGGTCCACGCGGGCGAAGCCGCTGGCGAAAGCTAGTATAATAATATTTCTTTTGGCTGTTTTGGGTGGATTGCCTGAACATTAATGAAATACTTTCTGTGGTAGCGAGAAAGTAACAAATGCTTAAAAAATTCGTCAGTCCTGGTTAGGTTTTGGGTAACTCAGTGATTAGAGTAGTCGCCTGGATTGTGAAAGGTCATGGGTTTTTTAAGCATTTTTCACTAAGCAAATTTTTCAGTATAGCATTGCGAATTAAAAATTGCTCAGATATAATGAGTATTTTTTAATTTTGAAGGACTCGCCTGCAGAGAGACAAGTATTAAATTTTAAAAACCACAATATTCTTCAAATTATCTTATAGTTTTCCCTGTATTATAAAATTATGAATTATTTTTTTGTATTTGCGTCAACATTTTAGGCCCCGTAGTTTCGAAGAGGGGGTGAGGTTGGGAAATATCGTTTATTTTTATATGTATTCATGATCCTCATGATAAGCCTTTTTATTTGAGAAATCGTATAATATAGTTTGCGAATCTTTTTTTTATTTAGACTTAACCCCAAAGAGGCTGCCATATTTCAAATTCATTTATTCACGTCAGATTAAATTGACCGATAGACACATGAGTGATATAGGTTTCATTACAGATACGGAAATCTAAAAATTGTGACGCATACTGGCGAGTAATTATCGTAACATCATTCATACATACATCATAAGGACCGCGGTCGATAAATCAAACATATTACAGTAAATCATACCAAAACTGATCAAACCGATTACAAAAACAAATAGAGACATTGGGGTACATACGCAAACAAAACCCTCTTTCATACTGTTGTTGATATCAGCGTTTAAAAATCCATAAAGACTCAATTCAATATATATGAATTAATCTTTATAGAACAAGAATTTTTTTATCAATCATTTTGAACAAAGCAGTGACATAATTATTTACTTTTCATTTATATAATTTAATATTAATCAATTTATTTATTGAAACATTTTTATTTTATAGAGCTTGGCATTTACAAACGTAAGTTATATGTATTACTTGTTATGTAATATAGACGAATATAGTTACTAACTGAATGCTAACCTTTTTGTCTCTAATATAATCTTGTAAGATGTTTCATTTAGTAAGACATTTCGTTTGATTTTATTAGTGTAGTAAAACTTTATTAGCTAAAGATTTTGTAGTTTTTTGCCCACATGCTCTCCAGATGTTATGTTGTCCTGGTATTTCTAGTTGGATTAGTGGCCATATCTATCTGTTCTTACTGTAATGCAGCCCACTTACAGTGTCTGACGGGGTTCACATGCTGGGTGCAGGCGATTCTGTGAGCCATTTTTTATTGGTCGCTCAATTGATTATCGAATAATGAAATGAGCCAACAGAGGTCACCCGTACTTCGCATACGGACTCCATCGTTCAATTTAAATGAGCTATAAGAGGTTTACTATTACAGTTTATAACGATGTCTCACTAGAAATAGCAAACAGCATATGTGATTTATCTAACACTACTTTGCATACATAATTAAACTTGACACAGTTCCACACTTTGAAGGTAAAGGGTGACATGCCAACCTGTACTATTATTATGCTATATTCTAATAAAAACAAGTCAAGTCCGAGTCGTTTGCTATTTTTCAATACTGAATCATAAATTCTCAAAATACGTAATATTGAAAAGATGTTACCAGTATAAACGTATGAACATATAACCTTGTAAGGTAAGGCAATTTGGTACGTGATCAATGAATTTGAACGATTTTTTTTTTATTCTGAGAACACAACCCGTGTTGCTATTATTGTATTTTGTAAACTCCAAATAGAAATAAAAACCTAGCTATATGTTTGTGCCTTGCTTAAGTATATTTAAAAAAAGAGTTTTGTCAGTCTGCGTCAACAAGAATATTTAATGATGTCAATTTAATAAACAAAAATATGCTACCACAATGTAATATACACGACTAACTTGTACTGTTTCGTTTCAGCACCGCCTACATCCAAAATATGTGGCACAGATTCTGAAAGAAGCCACGCAAGCGTTAAAACGGATGCCCAACATCAATGTTGCCACCACTTCAATTTCCAGCCAAATTACGGTCTGCGGCGATCTGCACGGGAAGCTTGACGATTTATTGGTCATATTTCACAAGGTAAACGATACATGGATTTATTAGAAAATTCATTCTATATCACATAGTTTGTTTGATTTTCGTTAGAATTAAAAGATGACGAATCATTACTAATATATTGTAGATAAAATATGGAATGATTTGTTTGCATTAAATAGGCTCTGAAACTACTGTACCGATTTTAAAAATTCCTTCACCTACGAAAAGTTACATCATACACGGGTGACATAGGCCATAATTTACATAATTTCAGTGATATTAAGTAAATATAGGAACATTGAAAACAAATTGTGCTTTGTTGTATATTTTCATCCATTGGCATGAATAGAATCGTAAATATATTATGCCATCAATAATAAAAAAAATGTATACCTATTAAATTACCTATTAAAATTATAAGTTGGTCCGTTGATCTGTTTTTATAGTTTTCACGTGACGCCCATGTGTGTGGATGTAAGATAGATACAATTATAATATTCTCAAAACTGACGTCAATGTATATGCTTTTGTCAGTGTTAGATTACCTTTTATACATTGACTGTGACTCTAGGTTTATTATTATTACATTCAGTTTCGTAGACTTTGGATAAGCTATCTCTCCTGGTTGAATTTAAAAATAGAATTACAAGAAATTATCTGTACAATTCTTGCATTATTTGAATTTTATCGGAAGCTATAAAATTGACATTAGTTAGACCAAAACAATTAAAGGAATAATCATACTTAGATATTATAAAACAAATCTAAAATACAAACCTATTCTGTAGGAACCTGTAAAATTCTTAAATGTAGTTTTTATTAATAAATGGAAATCCTAAAACCCTACTAAAAAGCTTTTGTGTGTACATCCACAGTATAATAGAAATTCGTAATACAGATCCTCCTTTAGCCTCGTGTCAACCCCAGTCATGTCGATACCAATTGTCCGGATCCCATGTTAACCTTTTAATGTAAGTCATAGTTCAACTGAAGTTCTAGGTATTACTACTGTTTACGCAAATAAGAACGCCGTTTCCACGAAAATTTACATAATTCGCTGAATTTAACGTAGGAAGGCAAATAGTAGGAATTGGTTGAACGGTTTTACAATATTATTTCAATTATTAAGACTTTGAATGTCCTGATTCTGAGGCATCAAGCTAATAAAGTTATTTTCTATTGAACTTTATAGTCTCTCATAACTTGCTTCTTCGTAAATCTGTTTATCTAACTTATTAATCCGCGGAAAAGCAATTCGATTTTCGATCTTGTTTTCCACATGCATATCTTGCAGTGTGTACCAATCATTTATTATAAGAATTGACGTTCATAGCACATCGGTGTTGGACTTTGTACCGAGATAGAAATAAGGCTTCCTCGATGTTGTTTTCTCGATCGTTAATGGGGGGTTCTGACGTTGAGTGGGCGATTGGCCCCCGACCCCGCTGGACAAACATCGGGAGCGGCGCACGCGTCACCTAATTGGTGTTGTTTGATTGATAGACCGCCTGTAACGCCGGACGACCTCGTTAGTTTGTCGATATTGTTTTCCAACTGATGTTTCCGCTATGGAAATATTGGAAAATAATGTTTATACTCCCGTGTATGTTTATCAGCGCTAGAGAACAATCCACGAAAGTACCACTTTAATAGTTGTACCTACAGTCGTGTAGAAGTAATTACTGGAGTATAAGAAATAACTTAAGCAAATTTTTATGCATGATTTTATCCAATAGACGTGAATTTGAATGAGTTAAGTACTGTCAATAGCTAATAGTATTACTAATAGTACTTCGAAGAATGCTTATTTCATTCAAATTCATGCTTTTGTTTCTCGTTTATTTATATTTATACTCATGTAACTTATTTCTACTTGACTATAGATGAATATAAGTGTTTGTAGTTGCTCTTATTTAGATATGTAATATAATTCAAGAGAACGACTTGTTTTTCCCTGAAGCTATTCAGTTTAAGTTAATATATGCGGTATTCTATAACTTCAGATACACAGAACGTTGTGAATACTAATATATACATACATATATATTTTATGACCGCTTAGGAATTGTTATTGGGCGAAAGATTTTCATTTCGCTCACGTATGTAAGTAAACTACGTGCTTATTATCCTCAACCGACATTTTTGCTTTTAAATTATCTAGTTGAAATGTTATCTAAATATACATACATTGTTATAGCTGTTACTATGACATTTTAGCTTATGTTAGTTTTTTATGATAAAATTACTAAATTAGCACTTGGATAGGTCCCCTGGAACTCATAAATTATTATGTGTGAAATTCATATGGCCTTGTCTCTGACCTTCTTAATTAATTATCATTATAATTAACTATCGATATTAATGTTTATATAAAACACAAAATTCACTAAACTAGAGTGGGAATATGGACTAGCTATTAACAGCTTTAGTGCATTATACGATCCTGAGCACGGCATTAGGAAAATGTTAGCTGAAGGATTTAGTTACATAACACAGCTGTTATCGATTTGCAGACACGTTGCGTAAGTCGCCTCGGTTACTGAAGATGTAAGGATTCACCAATTGGACATTCATTACGAACGCGATCGTTAATCACCGTAAATCACGCATAACGTTATCGTAACGCAGTTGTAATGACATACAGTTTTTCCTAATGACATTCGTAGAATCGGTGATCATGTAATAGTTTGTCCTCTCTCTTGTAATCGAACCGTAACTTTGGGACTGTTTGTGATGGAAGCGACACTTTAAATTGAGATGGGTCCAGAGGACGCTTTGACATTTCTCTGAATTTGGTGAAATGTGTTCAACTAGCGTTCAGATTTATTTCCTGCTATCTATTTTATCAAGTAAAATAAAAGTTTAACGAAAATATATTTATGATGAAAATATTAACATGATGTAACTTAATATATCTGTAGCTTGGTGCCACTGATTGTGTAATGCATAAGTAGTGTAACCATTAACTGTTAGGCTGGCTCATAGGTAAATTGAAAATCAATATACGACAGAAAAAGGTCAACACAAATCCTTATCCTTATTTATAAATAGAAAAATCGCCTTTATATGTGAAAGAATTTTCACAGTCGAGTCAGTAGGTATTTCTAAATATTACCCTCTAGACTCTTTACAAACTAAAAAATTAACAAAACCTTACCTCTTTATGATATAAGTCAAGATAATAAAATATGATTTACTAATGAAAAATGACTGAAAATTAAAAGAAAAAAGGTTTTAAAATAATGTTGAGAGGTTGACATAGCGACAGAGATTTTAATACCTGTGTATTGCAATGAAACAGGCTGCTATTTTTGTTTAACCTAAAATATATTTAGAATTTATGTGACCGTGCGATGGATGTGTTCCGTTTTTTAATATTATACAAGCATTATACGAGGATGTGCGTGCGTGTGATTGGTTTATTCCTATGGACTTAGTATCTAATTTCATGATTATCATGGTAGACTTGTGGATATTATAGGCTAAATATAATATCCACAAGTCGTAGGCATATCGAGTGGGTACGGCACGTGCACTGAGAATATGAAGTAACAGTTTAATCATTTAGGTAACTAGTAAAAGTATTAATCAAAATAATTAGTTGTCACTTACGTTGTGCAACAGTACGTTGAAAAATTGTTGGAAAACTGTTATCCTATGCAATGCGATAGTAAGATTAGTTAATTGTATTGTAGTAAAACTCTGTACTTTAGATATGCAGGTGCATATATAAAGTACAGAGTTACAATACAAATACGTAGGTACGTACAACATACTTTTATTTCTACATCATCCAAGGGTTGAATTGCAGAGAATAGCCAATGCATTAAGTCCAACTTTGTACATTTGTGCAATGAGTATGAAATAAATAAAACTACATATGTATAGAAGAACCCTTGGCTTTGATCTCTGAATATTGAAGCATGCGTTATAATACCATAACTTTTAATTTCATTGACAGAAGATTGATTTTCTCATATTTACCAATTGAATGCAGACTTTAGTATTTGATAATAATTTTGAACTTGACACTTTCATTAGTTTGACGAAAATGTAATATAAAAGAAATATCTTTTCTTCTAAGTTTTGGAATCCAAAAAATGATCTCAAAATAATTCTATTGATAAATAATAGTCAGTTTCTTTATAAAGACTTGAACATAGAGTAGTTGTGCAAGTAGGTGTATATTAGTCGTTCAACTGGATTGGAAAAAATGATTTTGTGCCAATAAATATGTAAAATATGTCTCTGAATGTCTAACCATAACATTTTATACAGCGGTGCCTCAAACGTGTTTTATGAGAAATATGGAACATTTTTTTGAGTGTCGTTATTTATCACAGCGTTCCTCATAACAGGAGATTGGAAAATGATACATTTTCCCAGAAAATGTTTTGGAACAGATATGAAAAATTATAACCTAATGGCTGTATGTGTTACGAGTGTGTTTGATAAGAATAAAAATAGCAATATTTCATTAACTCATCTTAAATGTAATAATAGAAACCGTATACGTAATTATTTGAATATTTTTTGTGCAAATAAACAGTCGATACTTGTCTTGCCAATTAACTTGTATTATCTGATTATGCTTTTTCTACTTTCGTTATACCATTTTTTGTATACAACCTATTTTTATTAACAATTAGCTGACCCGGCGTACATCGTACCACCTTATACCCGTTTTTTTTAATCTTATATACAAACTGTGTCATGAATCGTGGATCACATAAAAAATTGGATAATTCTCATCCAATTTGGTGCAGTCGGAACTGGAATTCTGAAGTTATGCGCGTACATACGTTTCGGCGATTTATTTTTTATCATCGATATTTAATAGCTCGCCCGGTGGTTTTTATTTTTCGATAACTCATTAGTTATTTTTTTTTCATATAGTGTAAAGAGCAATTTTGATATTCATTACTTGCACAACGTATCTAAGTTATTTATTTGAATAAGGATCAATACTGTATTGTTAAAAATAAAGGTTCGTAAATAACCCATCATTTTACTGTTTTAAGTATACGTAAAAAAATGGTAATTGTGGGTTATCCTTGGAATATAGGTTATACATATACCACCGCGGATCTATTAAAGAGTATTAAAATTGTGGATCTATTAAAGAGGTACAATTCCACCATACAATGTTTTGTTATAACTCAAAAGTTTTTGGCAGCGTTTTCGAGGAAAGCTTCCGATCGACTTTATTTTTTCCGATATATTAAACTAATATCGTCAGTTTGCACAAAACTACTATACACTAAAACCTTTCTCAAGAATTTATCTATCTATTATTGAAAACCGCATCAAAATCTGTTGCGTAGTTTTAAAGATTTAAGCATACATAGGGGTATACGGACAGAGAAAGCGACTTTGTTTTATACTATGTAGTGATTTGCATACAAGGTTTTTAATTTTTAAAATATTTTTAAGGCACTATAATAACTAACAATAGTTTGTCGGAATCTATATTAATATTAAAAAGAGGTAAGATTCGATTGTTTGTTGGCATCGAATAAGCTTTAAAACTTCTAGGCTGATTAAAAAAAACACGAATATACGCAAGTGACAAGCTATATTTTACGAAGTCGAAGTCTCGGGAAAACAGCTAGTTCGTAAATAAAGCTAGTAGTAAGGCTGTGAACCCTTTGGGAAATGTTTAGGTTCAATTTATTATGATATGTGTGTCGTTACCCCAGACACACTTTTTAAATATGGAGTATGTGGCACGTGTATATATGTATGTAAGTTGTATGGGCGCGGATACGAATCATATGTTTTCAGTCTGACCATAAAAAATAATATATATGTATTCGACGCATCCATAAGTGGCGTCGCATTTATAAATGTGTTACGAGGATGTGCTTCGCTACTTGAAGCTCTTATAGGGAAGAGAGTAAATAAAAATCCATACTCGGTTGAATATTATCGTTTCGCGGGGAATACACGTCTGTGTTAGTGTCTATACCTAATATATTGTAGCTACATACTTAATATGGAAAGATTAACCGTATTTATTTAGGTATTCATATAAAAACGAGTCAGATATTTGTGGATTCAGCAGGCACAGAACCTGACTTGACCTGGAAAACGTGCAAGTTTTTTTTTATCTTGAATTAATGATAACCTTTGATAGCGACTGCGAAAGGAGCATTTTAAGCTGCATCAAACAGCTTACATCGTAAAACCAGTTATTGAGCAATTAGAAATTTAGAGGACCGGAGGAATAGGGTAAAAACTGAAAATCAGTGCTTTTCTCTTTGAGTAAATACACACTGAGTTTTCGCCCATTTGCAACGCATCATTTGCATCGTTAGTTACAACTGATTTTCTACTAAGTATATATATTTTTTAAATTTTCAATTATTTATATAAATTTGGTTTGAATAATGCAAAATAAACTCAAAATCCACATGACTCATAGGAACTCTCCTAATCTTATTTATGTCTCTTTCCCAATAAAGGTTTTAGGTTATAACAATTAACGTTGCTTAAAAGAAAAGTAGCTAAAATACCTATCTTTAATATATTAATAACACTAGTTTATGCTTTTATCTATTACTTTTTATTCGTATCTCTCATTTTCACCCATGGGACGTCACAGACGCTAATGAAATGAAATATATCTAAAATACTATTTTGTGATTATTAATACAATAGCTATTTTTGATGGTATGGACAAGTTAATATAATAAATGACGAAGGTCTCAGTCCTACAGATCAAATTCTTGGTCATAAGTAGTCATAACAATTTACATAAGCAAATTTACCTTATTTATTTTAGAGTTGAGTATGGTTGGTTGCGGTCATTGTTTAGTTTTATTATGAAATTTATCAAATTATGTAAATATCGTAAGGTGTAATGGTTTCTAAAAGCTTTGTTTTGCATGCTCTAATAACTTTGAGTAATATTGCGAATGGGACATACGTAATAGCTCGAAATAATTAAAGTGTATGCTTTCAACCTAGAAACCATATTACCTATTTATTGTATAGGTAGTCTACGTTGATAAATAATTATATTTGCGTATTTTAGGTAAATAGGTTAATTGCATTTAGGCGTTTTGAATATATTAAATATTAAACAACATCGCATACATTGCTCAGATTCCAAGATGAGTAACTAATGCCCCCGTATTATGGAGTATCTGAGGCAACGAAGATACCACAAAACCCAGAACCGACACAATAAAGAAAATTTTATTTTCTACATTGACCCGACCGGGAATCGAACGACCTCAGAGATGGCGACACCTAGAAACCGGCGTGCGAACAACTCGACTACGGAGGTCTCATCGTGAATTATTGTTAGAAAAATCCTTCCATGAAAGTGGTGGTGCTACAATAGAACTCTGATAATATAAATTAATTCGAAAACGTGACATTTTAGATTTCATCTAGTAATAATTAACAACGATCCAGATGAGATAAACATAAATAGTGGATCTGTAATAAAATATTCTAAGCCATTATACGCTGCGTGCTTCCAGAATTTATACTGACCTTTTCGCCTAGTCAACTTGCTCCTTTAATAAATGTAATTTAAAATTCTGCATCAATAATGGACCATTTCTAATAAAAGTGAGTTATTTATAATCTGATTGAATATTAAACTGCACTTACCTATCAGAACGGGCTGCCATCACCTGAGAACCCTTACATATTCAACGGGGACTTCGTGGATCGCGGCAAAAAGGGCTTAGAAGTATTCCTTTTACTGCTGGCGTGCATGTTAGCCTTCCCCGGTGGAGTATACCTCAATCGAGGTAACCACGAAGACCTCATTATGAATTCCAGGTGAGCGTTAGTACTTGTATAACATTTGTTTGCCCTTTAAATTTTAATAGTGTTTCCATTTACAATATTGCATCTTAGGAGATATCAGACTTCTATATATTTTTGAATATTGTAAAAAATGTTTTATAAACAGGTACGGCTTCATTAAAGAAGTTCATCAGAAATATAGGGTGAGTGATATTTTATTAAAAGTTACAGCTTTAATAATCAATGTGACATGACTTATTAGTAAAAAGTAAAAGCCATTTCTCTACGTTAGTGAGATGGGAAAGTTTTTCGTTTGTGTTACACAAAAAAGTGTCTGACATTAGAGCGAGGATTGCGAAGATTGATTGTTGTGTGCCATAATTCATTGGTAACGAGCCAAAGCTTTCGAGTTTCCTTCTTCGATGTTATTTTAAGCAGAATGCTCCGGCTTAATCTGAATACCTTTTGAGTTGCTTCTAACTCAGATTTACGGATGTTCCGTTGCATTGAGATTTATTACATAGTTTGGGTAGTTTTAAAAAGAGTTTTAATTAATTTGACCTGGCGTTTCAAATATAGAAATCGATGATGATTTCTTTCTTTTTTGTAAAACCCTGTGATCACTAATAAAAATAAAAAAAAACACTAACTCTTATTTTATTATTTTAGCATAATGCAGAGCGTCTATTGAAGCTTATAGAGTGCGTCTACCGTTGGCTTCCATTGGGTACAATAATTAACAATCGTGTTTTTGTCGTCCACGGAGGTATATCTGATACTACTGATTTAGACATGATACGAAGCTTGGAAAGAGATAAGGTAATTAAAGTTATTTGTAGTGTTTGTATGTCACATTATTTGGTAATGTTCAAATAAATTGATTGTAGTTTTGATGCGTATTATAATATTTCTATGCATATGTTTGAAAATACCAAACGAAAAAAAAAGGTTTGACGTCATAAAACTCTTTGGAAGCTGATTTCTTGATTTCGCATTGAATAAACTCCGAACTATTGGACCGATTTTCAAATTTTTTTCACCCACGTGACTACATCTACATCATACGTGAGCTAACTTTCTAGTATTATCGTTCTAAATACTAATTACTTAATAATAAATTATTAGTCCCAAAAAACTATATAAATAATGTAAGATAGATGGGCATTTACCCATTCTTTCTTTTCGGCAAAATACAAGATATATGGTGTGTGGTGTGCAGTAAGTATATTTATCATCTTGGTTTATGTGATGCTAGTATTGGTAGTATTGATGTTATATCTTATGATTCTCCGAGATAAGCTTTTAGCTTTTATGTGCCTTTTCTTAAAGTTATTATCAGCAGCCGAACTTCTTGCGATCCATCACAGAAAAAGGGATAACTTAACTTTCAGTTTAAAAGTGTTCCTTTTTGACGAAGTTAACGTATGTGCTAAATAAACATACACAGTAACTTTTATACAGGAAAAATTTTTAGTCAGTGCGTATTAAATATTGTATTACTTACAGTAAATCATATTCATATTTTTCTCTGAACCTAATAAAATCACAGATAAAAACCAAAAAAGATGCCTATAAAAACTTTGCTACTTAATATATACGTATTAAGAGTATGTAACAACTGATTGCTCACTTCTATTAAAAACTATATTGTTAATCAAAATAGAAATTAAACTATCAATTTTAATACTCAAATATGAATTAGAAAAACTTTGTGCAATGATAATATTTATTATACTTTATAAAAAATGTAGTTAAAGATTCTGATGATAATAAAAACATAACCTTACATTACTATACATAATTATATATATATGTATATTCGAACGCCGAGGTTTTATTAGTTTTGACTGTAAAGCGAACTTACATTAAGAAATCAACATGATGTGTTGTGTAAAACAAATTTCACGAAACTAATTTCAGCACATGTGAATTAGTTTCGATATAACAAAAATATTTTGGAAGCGCAAAACTTCCATTACAAATTAACATGGACATTTCCATTGATCAAATTATCATCACGTTTGAACACTAGTGTTATCTCATGATAGTTAAAGCTAATGAAATCGTGACGTGCCTTAACAAGTATTATTATTTCAGTACGTGTCGCTGTTACGTCCACCGGTGACCGAAAACGCTACGGGCAGTGAAGTGATAGACAAGGTGGAATGGAAACAGGTCAGTCTCGATTAATCAATCATTTAATGCGGCGAGTTCTCTCCAAAATTAGACACAAAATAGAACGACCGTTTCCTATTGACGTCGGGTTTTGTGTACATTGTTGGAACTACAGTTTGAATAACAAATGAATTCAGGACTGACCTTTTTTAGGTTTAAGTTTGATTAGAGTGTTCAACACAATGTCTATAAAACGATTAATTGAGGTTTTGGATTCGTTTATGTCTTCGCATAAATGATGTTGAGAATAAGCCATCTATATTTTTATGTATTTTTTTCTTACATGTCGTTGAACATGGAACATATATATGCGTTTAATTGTACATATATAATATACATAATATTTGTTACCGTATATTTATAAATAACAGTATCGATTTATAAATAATATCTGTGTTGTTGTTATATTATAAAATTCTATTAACATTGCTGAGATATAAATTAAGCAGCTAAAATACTTGTATTTTGGAAATTTGAATTCAATTTCTACATTAACCCGACTCGACCCGGGAATAGAACCCGAGATCTCAGACATAGGCGACGCCTTGAAACCGAAGTGCGAATCACTAGGAAGTCGTAAATATAAACGTAAGATAATAAATTGAAGATGTTTATATAAAATTACCTATATTTAAAATTAATCATATCTCTATAAAATAAAAATTTCTAAGGTAGATTTTTAATTTCACGTGTCGGCAGTGAATGACTCTTTTAATTTGTTTATAGTAGATAGTATAATATAATATTTTTTGTAAAGTAGAGCACTTCACATATCTGATTACAGAAGCTTATTCCAATTTCACCAATTAAATAGTTCCAGTAAAATGTAACCCTAACAAATAAAATATATTCGCATTCCTTCCCCCATTATGAATTGACGATATACTTATATAATAAACATTTGATTGATTGTTTGCATTAAATAGGCTCCGAAACTACCGACTAGATTTTAAAACTTCTATCACCTATGGAAGAGGCTTCGCCATACGAATAATTAACGATGGCGAGGTTGCGGGAAAACAGCTAGTCTATACTAATGTATTTTATAAAGGCCAGATATTATAAAGTGTAGCTCGGTGGCGTAGTGGATAAGCGCCGCGGCCCACGATCGTTGTCGTTAAGCAACTTTCGCAAAGGTCGGTTACGGGATGGGTGACCAAAAAAATTATTATCTCGAGCTATTCCGTGCATGTTAAGCTGTTGGTCCTGGCTGCATTTGCAGTCGTTAATACCCTCCAATCCGCATCGGGCCAGCGTGGAGGATCATAGCCCATCCTCCTTAACCATCCATAAGGAAGGCCTGAGCCCCTGCAGTGGGGACGTAACAGGGCTGATGATGAGATATTATAAAGAGGATTTTTTCCATTAGAATCCTACATTATCCCTGATAAATCAGTGCACATCCGGGCGGGCCACTAGTAAAGAATATTTATTTCACTCCGTATTTTCCGTATTTTATCAATAATATAATAGTCACGAATGAGTAATAAATAGCTATTATTAGACATATTAAATAGGGACATTAAAACTACTATGAGCTAGCGATATCATTTAAATATTTTGTAATATGTAGGCTACTTGATTTATTAGGCTGCGGAATTTATATACTGTGCTTTTCATCAGTTCGCACTTGAACGATCTCTTCAGAAACGGAAGGAACCGATCAATCACTTAGTGAATATGAAGCCTGATATTTGCGACCGTAAACAGAGCTTAATCGATAAATGTAAACACGTAAATTGTTTTCAAAACCGCCTCTTGATTGCTGTCTTCGTGCTCGTTATTCTGTCACCGAGTTACTTCGCTCTATATTCTGGGAACTAAACGTATTAATGTTATGTGTATACTTCATTAAGGCTTTTGATGTAATTACTTCCATGCAATTTAGATTGTATTTGATCAAGTGATATTAGGATCTGCGATAGTCAATTTAATATGGCCATGTGTCTAGGTTACTTTGACAATTAATTACAATTAGATTTAATTGTTTCAGGATATTAAAGTTATTCAAATGGTATTTCACCGACATTTTATTGTTAAAGCAGCGTTTTTTTAATGTTTAGGATTCCGTAGTCATTAAAGATTTTAACTTTTAATGGTAATCGCATGTCTTTCAGAGCCGGAGGAGGCGAATGAAATGATTTTTTCTTTATATCTTGCGAATTAATGACAGGTGATATTACACTTTTGACGATTCAGTGCGTATATGTGTGCGATGGTTCCATAGATTTAATAATTATATAGATGGTGTACATTTTAGTAGTTGAATATTTATATAGTTGGAGTACATTTGAATTCACCTACATATAGCTTACTCCACAATTCTAATGACAAAATTACATGTGACAAACGGTCAGTTGCACAAACGTTCATTAAGGTTTAACCGCGCCTATAAGCTCTAATGAATGTCAAATTTGTATGGGTAATGTCGCTTTAAACTATTGAAAAATTTAATGGACGTTTATGGAATTGGCTGAAAGTCAGATAATAATATCGCGTACACAATAATCAAAGATATGTTCTTTACCTTTCGAAGAATGAAATTTTCGTGAAGGACATGAACTTAAAGTGTTACATTCACATGCAGTGCCAATTATGCCCACGTAATTTATATGCTGTACCTAAATGTAGATAAATAAAGAGTTGTTTAATTTAATATAAATAAAAGACGAAGAAAAATATTATTTATTATTATTATATTAAAAGTATGTACATAGTGGCGTTCGGTCCTCTCTGCCTATCCCGCAAGGGATATGGCGTGAAGACATAGATAGATAGATAGACTGCGCGGACAATTTTTAGGGAGTCAAAATAAAGTTATATGTAAATATATCTGACTTTCTGTAATAACCCACCCACCCTATTGACGGAGATTCCTTGTGCAGCACGTCAAGGAACGGATTCCTGTTTGATTTAAAAAGTCATAAAGCACCGAATACCAATCTATACAAAAATATACATCCATTTTGAATAATAATGTATGAAAAAGTACCACCACCAAAAGCAATTCCTTTTGGTGCATTTTCCAGCACTCGGCACCCACTTGGTTGCTTTTGAACGATAGTCGATAAAAATGTATATCACTATAATTTTTTTTGATACAATGGCATAGTCTAAACGGTTACATTTATCATTTAGGACCCACCAGATACACTATACCTCTTTCTTTCAAGCATCAGAAGACGTTTCATGGTATTTCTGAACGAAGAACTCCCAAATTCTAATTTATTTTAATCGCACGTACACTAAGGGATAAATTAGGGAATTATTCATAATGCCCGAGTAATATAATATATAAAGTTAATACATCAAGCCAACTATTGTTGTTAGTCATGTGATTGAGACGATCGTTAAGTTTCTAACCTATCATGTGACCTGGAGGGACAAGATAATATTAAATTGTTCTTTTTCATATCTCTATATATAAAGACAATTAATAGTGACTATTAATGTCTATTGATAATGTTTTTATAAACTGATCTGATTATACTATTGAAATAAAAATAGTGCCGTAGTAAAACCTCGTTTCAATTGTGCTGATCTATAGGTTACGAGGATTAATAATGCCCAGGCAATGTGGTTATTTCTATACTTTTTACTACATTTACTTCTTATATTGGACATTGTTAAAATGTCGCGGGCATTATATATAATTCACGATTAATCACTATGCTCATGAAATACACATCATGAATATATACTTACTTAAGAATATAAATAAAATTTTGGGATATTACTGATTTTATCTGACGATAGACCGGTATTTAAGCTTCGTACTTACAGTTTACAGAAATTTAAATATTATTTTAAAATAGGTTGACCGTAAGTACTTTCAGCGTTGTAGTTATATATATTGATCATGACGAAATGGTTATGTTTAAGTTTGGATATGAAATTTGAATTAATATTAAAACAGAAAAAAGAGGAGTCTCTCAATTAGTCAAAACGCCAGTCTGTCGCTCTGTCCACCAACGAAATTTCTGATTATTTTGTTAAAATCTTTGATTACCTGAGCAGCAGAGAAAGTGTCTGGTCGTATATCAGGTGTATATTAAAGAAATATCCGTTTTTTAGAGTCTTATTAGCGTGTCGAAAATATAAGACAGTTCCTTTTCGGACGAACAAAGCAGACATTAAGTAATCTTGTAGGACCAGATAGCAGAATCCTGATTGGCTATTGTATGTTATCATTGTACCATATGGCCAATAAATGTATTTTCTTTCCTCTATCTTATCTTATTAATCATAAATTTCCTCTAATTATAAACATTTCATCTTATTTAAGGAAAGTTTCTCTAACTTTGTTTGTTAGTGTAATCCATGGGGTAATTTAAGGAAATTCTTATTTAACAAAATAGTTATTTCACCTACGGAAAGCTACACAATATGCAGGTTACATATTTGACCTACAATTTCTCAGACATCTTTAATGTGGCATGTTTTTTTATAAATAAAAAGCATAAATAAATATAATTATTTTATAGTTTAATGTCATAAGCATGAGTCATATTTTAAAGTAATTATAATAAATGGAAGGCCGGAAGGCAATAATAAGTAATCTCAATTAGCGGAGATACTTGGTTTACCCTACATTTTTAATACAATTCTTAAATGTTGAGAGGTTATTATTAAATAATTTAATGTCTACTTGACTGAAGCGATGTCATTATATCTTTTATAAATACGAGCGATGGGATTATGCAATGAAAAATTATTTCTATACGCCGCCGGTATGACAGCAGTCGGTTTAGATTACATGAGTATTTGAAATTAATATTAAGAAAAATGAAATGCTGGATTAATTGTGGAATGAATAATTATGTGGATGTTGACGACGTACATATGCTGTGACATAATTGTACTTAGGTAGTCGACCTACTCATCATGACGTCAAACTCATCCAAGGTTGAATTTTATATATAGTAATTTTGTGAAATAAGCGCCTCTCTTAAATAATATACTGGATATTGTTCAATGAAGATGAAGCCACCGGACAGTAT